TAGTGTCCACTACTTAGAGATCTGTGGCAAGCGACACACATACTGAAATTCACAGGCCAGCAACTTAAAGTTTTATCCCTGTGCAATGGCGATCTTTATTTAAAGCCAAAAATCTGTAAAATCCTTACACTTGCAGATAATTAATATACATGACACTGCAGAGCAAAAAGCCCTAACTAACTTGTGCCCACTATCTTGATCTAGGCAAAGATATCCAACTTGAGCCGTGCTCTCTGAGAAGCAGCTGACTCCTGTTAAGCCTTATCTATTCATCGGGCAATGTATGAAGCCCAGCCACTTTTGGCACAGCAGTGAGACTGATTGATTTGAGCTCTGAGTGGATAAGGCTTTCTCATCCCTTCCCCCCTCCAACTCTCAGTCCATCCCCATTCCCCTCTCATCTTCTGCATCCTATGGGGGTTTTTTCTGCACAATACAATGCAATCTTACGCCATCCATTGCCTCAAGTGTGCCGCTACAAAATGTGTGATTAACAAAGAAGCATTTTAAAACTGTGAGTTCATCTGCAGCAATATCAGAATACTTGGGTTTCCTTAAAACACAGACGAATGGGTGTTTGCATTAGACTCACCATCCAGTAGAGTCTGACCATGTATTTCCCATAGTTGTTGTAGAGAGGCACATGGCCTTTCACGACTTTACACAGAGAGTAGACATGCTCCCATGGTCTCCAGACATCTTGTTCTGTAGCTGTGCAGTTATGCAGCGCCCAAACAATATAGATCTCACTGATGATCCACCTCATCAGCTTGACAGAAGACGGAAGAGAGAAGGGAGGGAAAAGCAATCATGAGCCTAACAGCTACTCACTAATCTTTAAATCAATTGGCTGAATCAACGAACGACTTTCTCATATATCATTCACTCAGTCAATAGAGCATTGCATTATCCCAGACTAATTCATTTCTGTCAGTCAAACGTCACCCTGTCTGACATCTGAATTACACTATCCAAGTAATGATCGATATCGGTTAGCAGGAAGTCGGCACGGTATTCAATAGAAAAGTAGAAAACAACAGTTGAAAACTAACCTCACTGCAAATCAGATGATCATTGGGGGAGATTAGGTCAAAGGTCATTTGATTTTCAACAACGGTGAGACCCTAAAATAAAGCACATCATTGTTTTCATGTGAGCACAGATTGATACATTTGCCTGAAAGTGAAAACTCTCTGCACTCTCTGTGTGTGTTGTGGCATCTGCACATATCGGAATCATTCATTATAATAACAGAGTGGTCGACCAGCTTTAGAATATTGCTGTCGCACGTCACCTGTTTAAAATGGACATGAATATGCAACTTATTTAATGCTTATCTAGTCGTCCCAGTGCCTAAACCGGTCCGTAACCCCGCCATGATACACCCAAGACCATTTCGGCTGTGAATATTTCACTAGCAAGTTATAATAGACTCTACCATGTTACTAATTAAATATGAACTAATGGGTCAGGTGATGGTGAGCGAGATCAGCTGTGTTTTCTCCCATCGTCATAGCAACTTTAAATGAGAACCAAACTTTAAATTATTTCCGCCAATAACGTCGGCTTTTGAAACACAGACTGGTATAGACTGGTGAAGAGAGAGTTTCACAAAGTGAGCTGTTGCCTGCATCTGTGCGGCTGATTAGCGTTTGTGATTAGCCCGCGTTCCTCTTGTATGAAATTAATGAAATGCTTTTGACATCTTGAGTGAAAAGGCAGCTTGTGACCTGGCAAAGACTAATTCAAAAAACAGGAAGCTTCCAGTAATTGCTCAATACTCCACTGCGAGAGGGTAGCAGAAAAGTGGAGTGATGCAATTAAAACTTCATTGGAGGTGACTAGAGAGCAGATTTCCCTAACTACATTTCACACTGTGCGGCAAAGAAAAACACTCTGTTAATACATGTAATGGTTGCAACCAACAGTTAGTTAATTAACCTGTTGAATTTCCTTTTTTTGATTAGGAGATGAATTGTTTAGTCTATGAAAGTCCACATAGTCTCTTAGTCCCTTAGTCTACAAAATGGTGAAGAAAGAAATGACCATGAACGGCTACAGGAAGCAAATATTATCTTGAAATGTATTATTTTTTCAGAGGAACAATCTAAAAACCCAAATGTATTCAATTTACAGTGACATAAGAGGTAGAAGAATAGCAGCTCCTGAGGAACAGAAACCAGCAAATGTATATTCTTACATTAGAAATTGCTTAAACCACTAATTAGTATAAAAAGTACAATCAAATAATCAGTAAACAGTTGACATTAATTCACTTTTATTATTTATATGTGTATACCTAAACGACACATATACCTGTTATTGTTATCCTGTATGTATTTGAACTGACATACGCTGTAACAGCGTAAACCCCGTGATCATTGTTAAAGTGAAACATGCAGACATTTGGCATGTACTATTCCATTAGAAACTATATCATTAATAAAGAAGCATGACGGTTACCTTGTTGACAATAAACTCTGTAGGACGCTTCCAGGAGTGCACTTTCAAAGATGGAGGCAGGGAAATTTTCCCCTCAGGATCTTCAAAAAATGGCTGCAGACAAAAGCAATGAACAAACAATGAACATCATGACAAAATGAATATCGGTTGTAAGGTTGATTTTAAGCAAAATACCACATTTTGCAATACGCTGTACAGTGGGATTGCTGAGGGCAAATGAATTAATAGTGTTGATTATTTTATACTCCAGATTTACAGCATTGGGACTCTTCGTCTTTCCATCTTCAGCTCCTTTACTTGAGTCCCATTTCTCCTTGTTGACTTCTGCATCATTCCACTCGGGCCAAATGGGGAATTTGCATCTCCATGCACTTCCTAGGCTCTCAGAGGAAGTGGCTACCAGGGACGCTGCTCTGAAATGATGACACACAGCTATTCATTTCATTTGCTCTTCCCTTTTGTCAATATTTAGCAGCAAAATTAGCCAGCTCAGTACCAGAGCTCCAGTCTGGAGTAAATCCACGAAATCCCTGTTTACCCTCTCATAGTGAAAGTGATATTAGCTCATACTGCTGGCTGTCTGTCATTATGATTACACAGACTGAGGATTTACACACATGCCATATGTGATGTATTTCTCTTCTCAAGAGGATACAGGGCTTTTCACTTAGATAGATAGATAGACAGATAGATAGATAGATAGATAGATAGATAGATAGATAGATAGACAGATAGTTAGATAGTTAGATAGATAGATAGATAGATAGAGTGTAACGTTACATATTTGTATTACATAACACAATGAAACCAGCCAGGCTTTATGTATGATATTCCATCTCTGTTAGGATTAGCAGACGTTAGTTTATTTTGACGATAAGCAGCTAACGCTAACGTTAATGCTAACTGCAGCTGACCTCAATTAACGCTAATTGCCGACATTAACCAAACTCACTCTGTCTGTCGGTCGGTTAAAGAGACTTTACTGGAAGAAGACTCCTTTTTCTTTGGTTGTCCCTTGGACATTGCATTTGCTGCGATAAATTTTCAAGCTAAGTGACCAAGGACCCAACAAGTCAAAGAGCCTTCCGGAGGTGCGTTTGTTTGGGTATTCCTATGCGCTTCAAAGTTTATGCGTTGCTAAGCAACGGAGCTTCAACGTGGGCGGGGACTGGAGCTGTTGCATCACTTGTTACTATGGTGAGGGGGGAACAGATTTTCTTTCACAATACATGTATGTACAGAAAGTTACATCAGAGCTAAACATCTGGCCTTATTGTCCTTTATATAAACACCTTTAAATAAACCAAATATGACCTCATATTGTCCTGCAGAGTTGAATCAATACCTTTCTGGGACCATCTTGATACAGTAATAGCATCACAAAGATTGCCTTTTCCTGAAAGGCCACGGTATTGGATTGCATTGGATTGCCTCAAGTCTGTCACCATGTGATGCACATATGGCTAACAGCACCGCTCACACACAAATAGAAAAACACTCCCAGATGATAAACCGGTACATCAGTATGCTGTCAAGTCTCCAACTTCTCTCTGAAATGCATGTTGTAGTGCTTTAATCATGTGATGTGGACTGCAGTATTGGCATTGAATGAGAGTTGCTGTAATGCTTGTGCCACAACACAATTGGCACACCTCCATTACAGTACATTCCTGCTCTGGTAACAGTAGGTGTGTGGAAGAGCAGCTGTAGCCTAGTGTTGAGAGCAGAGAGTCTGATGACTATCACACACTCTTTCTTGAGTGGAATCACATGATCCCTCTCCCTCTCTCACACACGGTCTGAGTTGTACTTTTCACACATACAGCTTCATCCATAGTCCTTTGTGTTACGAGGGAAACTTAACACTATAGGTAGTGTTTTCTCAGAGGTTTTGTACACGTATACACATTCTGTGGGCCTTGTTTTCCATTTAAAAATAAACAACCGTACCAATAAATCAGCAGACAGGTTATGGAAGTGTTTTTTACTTTATCAGTAATCTGTGCTTCTCATTGGGTCTACTAAAACACGCTTTTAAAGATAAGTTCTTCATTCTTCGAGTACAGTAAGTGTTTACTGTCACTGTAGACTTTAGTTCTGCTGTAGTATCGCAATATCAAGAACCTGTGATCACCTGAACCAGACACTATTGCTTGTGCAGTACACTAATCAGAAATGTGTTCATATGAGAATAATCCCAGCTCAGTAGACTTGATCTCTACGGGGTCTACGTGCCAGTAAAAACCAACGTATTTTATAATCTGATTTTGCTAATTTGCTTGGATTTTTCCAAACAGGGAAGCAAAATGTTTATACTGTGCTTTAAGTATGGCGGAGACCTCACTTATTCATTCACATAAGTTGTCTATCAGTAGGTTATATAACTGAATGAATTATGAATGAGTTGGAGCATGTTGGGCAACACCAACATTGCCCCAGTGCACTTTTTAACACATATATAAATACCTTATATAAACACATTTAATCATTTAGACAGATGAATGCATTTGAGTCTAATCACTAGTAGACAACACGAATCTGTTAAAATGTTTATTCTATTTTGGTCTTGTAGATTTAAAGTATTTTCACATGTAAACTTAATCTCAACTCCATGTTAAAAAATCCTTCATATTTCATTTGAACACTTTACCAGATTATCATCCCTATGTACGAGAGAGTGTAGTCCTCTGTCAGATTCTGTTTTTATGACATCTCACCAGTTGTACAATGCATGACCCAACACATTATAAAAAATACATACTGTAAATCAGATCTACATTTTCATACCAGTGGAAAGACAATCAAACAAAGATATCTCAGTGTCTCATTCAGTACCGTTATTAGAGTTTCTTTCTGAAATACTGTATTGTCCGTCCGTGTCCTTGTAAATGTTTGAGTGAACAACAAGGTGTCCGCCTCCAATTAACATAACACAAACTGTAATATGGCATATTATTTCAGAGAAAATATGGCATAAAGACAACAATTCAAAATATGAGATACATTAATACTTTGATAATGCTTAACTTGCTTACTTTTTACACAGTAGTCTAAAGAACAGCTGGAAACACAAAACATGAGTGTGCTGCAAAGATTAAGGGGGAATTATCTATGTTAACTGAAGAAGTACTTCAGTAACACAGAGCCATAAAGTGTCTTGTTTCACAGATAAATACTGAATGACAAGGATACTGAGAGACAATAGACCAAAGAGGCAGAAACTGAGAGGCCACGGGTTGTTTTCTAGTTTGTGTTTCTCAACTTTCTGCCTACTTCGCACCCCTTCTCAGGCGTGGTTTAGTCCAGGGCTTCAGAGGCTGTCAGGGCAACCAGGGGAGCAGCAGGGTTCAGACGTGGAGGGCTGGGTGGGGTTCAGATTTGGTGGTGAAATACACAATCAGGAAAATATATGGCAGAGGCAGTGACAACATTTGTGACAACATCAAGATAAAAATCAGGCTTCTATTTGGGCCTAGGGAAAGGTACAATGACAAACTTAGATGTGCAGGTCAAATGGGCATCGGTGCAGGGAGGAGAAGATCTTGGAGCTTTGAAGACCCCCCAAAAAATTCATATTCCTCTGAGAGGCTGTAGAAGAGGGCTAAGAGCCACAGGCTGTATGAACGGGTTGGACCCTGCCAAAGGGAGGTGGATGGCTAATGTGAGTGGACTGAGTGTTAGCAGCAGCCTGACTTGCTCTCAGCAGCCACAGTCTCCTGGTCCAGTTTGATCCGGTCTCCATTGCTCTCCTCATACGGCAAACCTTTGTCATTAGCCAAGATATTCTCTACCAGGAAACGTGCTGCCTCGTCCACGTTGATGTTGTCCTGGGAAAAAAACAAACAGTATGTCAAAGTGGTGATACATCTACACCCTTGTGATAATACAGACACTAGTCCTTCTCCTTGCTCTGGCTTTCCAGTCTTTATGCTTCTTTTCAGAATTGCTTTGGAAGTCCACTAAACCCTTTTATATGAACCAGCATGCTAAAGCAACAGCTGGGAGACAGAACCAGTTTCCAGAGAGCCAATCTGAAACCGCCAGAGACAAGGTAAAAACGGCCGTTTGCTTTTGCCCTTCACACTGTGGCCAAAAGCTGTCATCCTGTGGGCTGAACAGGTAATGAATATTAATGGTCCTTCCCAATGCTCTACAATAACAAAGATGTTTACAAAGAAGCCTGGGCATCAAAGTGTATTCTTTTTTTTTATCTGAGGTATATTATTGGGCTGCAAAAGTCAAGAATTACATTAGCAATAAAAATCTAATCGCTTATTATTTTAGAAAATAATTTCAAAACTGGCAAGAAGCAGCACAGTAGATTATCTACCCAAATGTGTCCATTTCAGGACTAATTGGAAGTGGATGTGGATACAATCACATGATTATGAGCCCTCTCTAGATCCATTTTAAACTGTTTTGATTTTTCAATGTGTAGAGGGCGTGTACCAATCAGAACCAGATGAACCTCCTAATTAGAGAGAAATTATTGACCACGTCATAGCAAAAGGCTGATTAGGACCAGAGCAAATTAATGAAATGACCTGTCTCAGCCCCAAATATCATCACAAAACTGTGACAAAAACAATACACATCTCATCATGATTATGTCTTATTCTCTTGTTCCACCTTTAAGAAACAGAAACAGAAAGAAAGTCACTGACAGAACTCCAGGTAAATACGAGCGTCACAGGCACACAAAACAACAACAATGATTCATGGCATTCACAGAAAGGAAATGGCCAGAAAGGCTTTTGAACCCACCCACACACTTCACATGACACAGCACGTGAAACAGCTGCAGGCCCTAAGGTTGTTAGGAATGAGTTAATAATGTTGGGCTGCCAAACGTTATCAAAGCATTCCTCAACATTGAAGTATAAAACATGGTTTGGTTTCAAATGTATAAGCATGAAAGACAAATGCGACGGAAAAAGGAGGCAAGGGAAACACGAGAGGCACCTTTCCCTGGAGTCTCATAGTTAAGAAGGTGAACATTTGACTTGCTGTGCACGTCAGACACAAACGGCATCTTTCAAAGGAAGTAATTTATCACTGAACATGAGCTGGCACATGCAGACAAGTGGCAGCCTTTGGTTTGTGTCACACACTTACCTGCTGATCACGCTGATATTATAGCATAGGGAGGTGACACTCCATCTGACAACAAGCTTTATAACACAGACTGTGTAAAATAAGTAGATTAACTCAAGTAGTCTACAGCTTTGAGGCACTTTCTATAAAATAATGATGTTTTATTACTTCCACGCTGCCACATTTCAGAGGGAAATACTGTACTTTTTCTCCACTGCATAGGTTTCACAACTAGAAACTACTTACTCTTCAGGGGTAATTTTGTATACAAAAACACATCATCAGTTTAGAAAATGTGATGTATTTTTAGAGAATAAACTACCAAACAGTATATAATGCATTAAAGTACTACTTTACATCAATCATCATGAACCAATAATATAAGGGGGGCCATGCTAGATAATACTTTTAAAACTTACACTTTGTTGCTAATACTTCTGTAACTGTTCTTTAGTAAATTTTGCATGCAGGATTTTTACTTGTAGTAAATTGAATTAGTGTAGTATTGCTATTTTTACTGTAGTAAATTATCTACATACTTCTTACATCACAGCTTACAAAACCAAGGACCTTTTTTTAGCCCTTAGATCTAAGAGTTCTTTCTTAACTGAACCTTTGTTGAAGTGAGAGGCAGCCAAAATGATCTCACTTCACCAAATTCTACTCGTATGGGCAAAAATACAGAAGCACAGTGTGAACAAAGGAACACAGTAACACTAAACCTGTGACACAAAGACCAAAGTTGAGGAGAAACACTACCAAACATTATCTTTAAAAGCCCTGACCTTCTTACCCTCACAGCTGTGGGCTGCAACATCAATCAACGTCATACGATACCTTATCACACCAGCTGTCCAGCAAATCTTTTCACTGGTTGGAAAGATAAATGCCCATAGATGTTGTGCATGAACGGCAGGATAGAAAAAAAAAATTGTTTTCAAAAATAAAACTCCAGCCGAATCATTTGTCAGTTTCAAAGATTTAAGAAATATTGGAGTTTACATTCTAGTCTCAACTTTATTCTTACACTACTTATCTGCAAACTGCCATACTTAACACTGAATTGTGGATCAAACGTTAATAGGAACAACTGCTGAGTGTATTTAACAAAACACATTTCTATTTGTAACTATTTCACAATCGTCTAACCAGTGTGATTGCATCATTCAGAAGGGGCCTGGGCCTTGCTTCCTCTGCAGGACTTCCTGTCAGCCAGCAGAAGTGAAGAAGCCATTCAGTAATATATTTGAATATCTTCACAATAAAAGTTCAGTGGCTCCTTTTATTCTTGCTCGGCTATGTGGGCATTTCAAAGCTCTTCTCACATCTGATTTGCTGCAAACACAAGTCACGTTCATGCGGAAAATAAGATTTAAAGCCATTACTAGTCATGTTTGGACCATGACTCGAGAAGCTTTAAAGGAAATATGTATCCCCATCATGCAAGATATTTCAGCCAGCACTAATATGAGCCCTAACTTCGGTAATTTCATGCTGCTGAACCCTGGTTTGAAGTGTAGCCAGAAATAAAACATTAAGAAACATCAGAGAGAGGAGAATATTTTAAAAAGAAGGATGTTAACCAGATGCACATGGGAATGTATGTAAAAGAACATGGATGTATTTTATCCATACTGTATGTGCAACCAAGAGCTTCTCTGTCTAATGTATTGATCTCTCACCTTAGCTGAGGTTTCAAACCAGCCCAGAAAGCCAGTCTCTTTGCAGAAATTGTCCATTAGGGCTGTGTTGTTGGAGCTCTCTTTCTTCTGGTCGCATTTATTGGCAAGTAGCACTGAGGGGATGGGGCTGCCATTAGCCAGCTTCACCTTGCTGTCTAGGTCATGCTTCCACTTAGACACTGCCTCAAACGTGGAGCCCCTCGTCACGTCAAACACAACAAATGCCCCCACGGCCTCTTTGTAGTACACTCGCGTCATGTTCCCAAATCGTTCCTGACCTGCGGAATAGGAAGAGAATTTAGTGGAATATTTGCATTTTTACAAAGCAGCTAAAAGCTAGATTAGTAAGAGGGTTATGGGTTTGTAGGGGAAATAAATGTGGATGTGATAGGTGATATATATATAAATATCTAAACCAAAACAGTATCTTAAGGGTGACACCAAATGTGTATCCCCAATCTTGGTTGCAGTAAAGGGCGAGACATTGAGTATTTCATTCTTATTTCAGTCCCTCCAAGGAGTTGGATGTTGCGATGGCAACAATTAACGCAAATTCAACCAATCCTCGTTAACTTTTTCGCACATTTGACCAATTTTTGTAGTTTCCTGCAAGTTTCAACAATAATAGTAGTCCCCCCACACAAAACACTGAGCCATACATCACCAAACTACTAGCGATTTTTATTCTCACTGGAACAAGTTGGCTTTCATTTTTTATGAATTATACAAATATACAACAAAATAAATCAACTACGTTTGCAATTTTCACTTTCTCCCACAATTTCATTGATAAAACATCACAACATGCAATGGGAATATATTAGAAAGGCTGCAGCAATACTCAAGAAATAAAGCCTGTGAAATCCTGGAGGGACTGCCATTTCTTTCTCCATTTGGTCACAACTCAGAGAGAGCTCAACAATGTTCCTCCTCTAAACGTTGCCAAAAAATTATGAAGACAGAGATGGGTCTTATTTGACCTACTTTTCCTCCACAGAGAACGGCAGGAGTAATCTGCGATAATAAATAAGCCCATTCTCTGAGAAAATCTGAGGTGATATTTCACAAAGGCGACGCAAGGGGAATTACCATCATGACATGGGGTGTCACTGTAAAGCTGAGAATGCCTCTTCTTAAACACACCTGGCCACTTTTAGTTTTTTTTTATATTCCCTTACATCTACTGATTGTATTCACATCACACCAACGCCTTAAAGGTTAATCAGCCATTGAAGAGATAATTTTGTAGTTATTTTTAGATGCCACCACATCATGAAAAATGACCACAGCTCTAAGGTAGATCTAAGGTTAAATAACCATAAAATATCCATGGAAATTTCCAGACTTAAATTAGCACATTTAAAATGAAACCTTAAAGAGGAAATATACTCTTGAGGTGAGAAATAATTCCAGGCACAGTGCTCTAACATACCTTAAAGTCTGCCCACATCACTTCACCTTTAAAAGCTGCACTGAGGCATGAAGTGGGGGGGGAGTGAATCTACAATCAGCAGTTCAACTGCCGAAAGGTATCTCTGGTAACACTTGGCTGACGTCACATTTTCAAGTACACCCTTCTGATCAAAAGATCCCTTGAATTCTGCCTCACATCGCCTCATTTACAATTTAATTATAGGAAGCAGCCGGGCCTTTCTACATTTTATCTTTTCATCCAACGTGTGCCACTTGGACTTACTAGTTCTTATCTTGTTGTAGTTTTCCTCAGAGGAAAAACACATCCTAAATTTAAAACAAAACTAATCTCTCAATCCTTTCAAACTTCTCCGGACTGTCTTACAAACAGATCACAAATACATACTTTTAATTTCAAAGACGACTTAATAGCTTCCTAAATACCCAGGCCACTGTTCCTTTTAGCAAACATCACTCAAATAGGACTAGCACTAATGAGTATTTACAACAGCAGGGTGGTGCGTGCGGGATCTACTGCGTACAGTGCCCAAGTTCATTGTAATGAATATAAATGTCCCAGTGATGTGTTTTTAATAGTTTTTTTAATGTGTGGTCTAAAAAAAAAAAAATAGGCCCTGTGACTAAGCTCTGGGGCTCACTCTTACTGCTCACTGGATGCTTAGACTGCCTGTTGATGCTGCCTGCAGCTATAGGAACTGAGTACAAGCATGAACAGGCTGTGATCGTAATCGGTGACTTAAGCAGGAACATTTGGTAAAATAGCATCTACTTTATGAATAGAGACAAAACTGTAGGTCCAGATACGACAAAAGCAGTTTTACATTAAAAATTAGATAAAGGATTATGGTTGGGTTTTACTCTTGATGATGACAGTGTTTTCCCATTACATAGAAAATAGTTACCCACAAACAATACCCACACATTGCATAAACTTCCACATAAGGTTCCTGTTTTTGAGCTTTTGTCTGCCAACACCAGTTATACTTTGTCACACTTTGCTAAACACAAGCTTAAAAAGGGTTGTTAAAAGGTCTGTTAAACTACTTAGGTATATTCATGTACTCACATGATACATGAAAACACACAAAATGCTGATCTTCCAAGTATAACTAAAATATAGGTCTCTAGTTTTTTTGATGGAAACACTGATGTGAACACACCTATAACAGCATCCAAAAACATTTATAATTTAGATTTTTGCTAGTAGGACTGGATCACAGACTGTGCCTTTAAAACACCTGCTCATTCAAATTCTTTTTTGGATTCACTCTCTGCAATTATATCAGGCTTCCAATGACTTGAGGTAGCATTTGACGGATTTAGCACATATTTTTGCTACACTGCTCCAATTTAAGAAAGCCTACAGGGCAAGTGTAATTGTACAGTGTATTAGACAGTTAACCGCCAACACTAGAGCCGAGTTACAAAATAGAAAATGAACCAAGAAAAGGAATGAGGAACTGTGAGCACAGCTTCTCCCAGCATACTTTCACTTTACTGTAGGTACTTACCCAACTACGCAAGGAACTGGAGTGGCGTGGCGCAGTGCGGGTGTGAGCGAGAGAGTGAATACACTGTGGGGCCCACAGGCCTGACGGTAATTGCTCATAATTGAGAGTCTAATTTTAGCTGATATAACCCCAGGTGAATTCACCAGAGACACGACACAGTGGGATAAAGAGCCAATAGACTGAAATAAGGCTTTCATTTCCAGGCCTGGTAGAGCTCATACATCCAGCGGAGTGGCTGTAAAGGCAGAATATAGAAAGAAAACACTTTTTATTCTATTGCAAGGTCTGAGGGAGCCCAAAACGTTCAGCCAGAGTGGAGCGGCTAAACAGTACTGACCAAATTTCTCAAAAGGCTGCTGAAGAACGCAGTAAACCATGTTTTATTAAGCTTAATGAAAGAAACTTAACCGCCAATGAACAGAGCAATAAGGAAAAGTGAGCCAAAACATGGACGAGCGATGGTACAATGGCAGATCATTTCTTTTTTGCCCGCTCACCTTGGACTAAGATTGGACTTTTTTTTTGGACTGACTTGCCAAAAAAAGCCTGTTTGCGTAGTCAGTATAATTCCTTCTCATCTTCCAAGTCTTGTTTTAAATTTACTAAGAAGCTAATCAATGCTGAGAATGAGTATGACCGTTCATTTATTCAAGGAAATGAAGACAAACTGTTCCATAAACCCAGACAAGGCCATGACATTGTTGTCATTGTCTACATTAAGCACTTCACTTGATTTCCTGACACGTCCAGTCCTGAAAGGTCGGCATGTACGCTCAGCCAGTTTCAGGGTGTTAACCTCACTCGTCCCTGGAGAGAACTGGCTAGAAGGAAAGGACTCGTAAGGGGAGGATTATATAAATCATTATTATCGATTGCTGTTGCACACATACACATCTGACTATTTTAGGCTGTAATGAGTTATTTGGGGTATTGATGAGGTGCTGTGATAGTCACTAACGTTAAATGACAGCAATCCCATGATGCTTGACCTTTCAAGCGTCATAAGTAAGTCCTGATAATCATTCTGCTGCATTTACTGAACCCAGTCCTGTTGCTGAACGAACAATACTGATGTTTGTTCTGATTGATAAAAGCTACTTCACTCTTTCTAAAATGACCTCAGTATGCATTGTGTTGTTGGTGGTTAAATGATGAGGCTGGTGATTTTCCAAATTGTTGTAATTGTAAATAAAATCCCATGAAAAGCAACATTTCTTTATACTTCACTTTTTCTCCAGCCAGTCTGTGGTACTCCCCGGCCCTAAGCCTATAAGTTCATACTGAAGCAGGTTATAACTATATACGTTAAGAGGCTAAATAATTTCCTAAAACAGCTGGTCACAGGTTTTATCATTAGTTACTCAAACAAAAGTCAATCATTTAGTAAAATATGTTTGGGAAACTAACAATGGAGGTCTATAAGTAATATAAATAAGCTGAATCAAGCTTTTGATACAAAGGCAATGTTAGCAGCATCAGTTAATTGTCAGCTTTGGCCTGGTTTGTTGACAATAAGAAAAATATAGTATTAGGGCTGCTAGTAATGATTATTTTCAGTATTGATTAATCTGCCAATTATTTTCTACACCACTCAAATAATCACTTGTGTGTCTGAAATGTCAAATGTCCCAATATTCAGTTTACTATCACAAATAACAAAAAAAAGCATTAAATACTTATATTTAAGAAGTGGAAATAGCTAGCTCGCCCGTTTAAATTATATCAGGACAATAAAGTTATGCATAATTAAGAGAATGGCCGCTTTGTGTGACAGGTTGGTGCCTTCACAAGTGGCTGGTTTCAGCAACCAGGCTTTATTCAGACCCCCCCTGTGCTCCACTCACAGTCCACGTATCTGCCCACTTTTGGATTAGCCGGGAACCAGCGGAGTTAGGATTTCCCAAGATGGCGTACCTATAGGTGACGTAATGGAGAGTCCATTTTAATTTATATAGTCTATGGGAGGACTTTTCCAGGACAATAAATGTGATAGATTAGTAAATATCACTTTAATGGTATTCATACTTTTCTTTTCTTCTTCTTGTTCATTCACTGCAAAAGAAATGTATGTCTTTCTAAATAGAAGACATATTAAATTAGACTTATTCGCATTAATGAGTGTCATATGCTGCTAACCCAGTCAGCATAAAACACAGGAATGGAACGAGCTGTATGAACAATGGAGTATTTACACACTGAATACCACAGAGGAGCATGAGACCGCAGGAGAGAACAAAGACGTGTGCTGCTGCCTCAAACGCTCAACATGCCTACAAACTAAAGAGAACTACGTCTGAGTCTTTCCGTAAAGAGAGACAGTGAACTATTGTGGAATTCCAAAAGCTTTAAACAAGGACATTTCAGTTCAGTCTACCACGCTGTAGAGTACTGGTGCATGACCTAAAGTACGATTAGGCATTCTGGGTATGAACACGTGAAATTTTCAGAAATCTGCAGTTAGATAACTACTTGATGAAAAAGAAAGGGTTTAGTTACAGCCACTGTATCATCTCTGTTTGTTGTGTGGAAGAAACCGAAAGAGGGAAAAAAAAAAGTCTCATCATTATCCATAGCCCTAGCAACCCCAGTTTCCTCTACGGTCGTACATATTGCAATCCTGTGGGTGGGTTACCATAGAAACTGTCCAAGCCAGACACGGCAGTAGCAACAGCAGCAGTCTCCGTCTGTTGTTAGGAGGCAACTGGCTGTGAAACTTCCCCACACGCCCTCCCAACAACTAAAATAACAAAGACAACGCAGGGTCCGGTCATTAAAGGTGGTTTTCGGCAGGAGCTTTAAGAGTGAGAATGTGAACAACACATGACTGGCACGTTCAAATTCCACTGAGCAGCACGTGAGAAGTGACTTACTACAGCTTACTACGGCCTTTAGCACTGAACAGAATCTGAACTGAGGGAAAATCCCAGGCTTTTAAGTGGCATTACCCTTGTTTCACCTCACCTTCAGGCTGAAGGGTTGGTGAGGGCTGATTACCATAAAGCCTTGGCACAAGGTTGTAAGAATTCAGCTCAAAACAATCATATTTGTTGTAGAGTTGTAAGTAGAATTATTACACGTGAGCCATTTAAACTATTCATCTACCAATAGTCTTTTTGGGGAATCTGTAAAACAATCCACAACAGGCGAAGACAGTTTTCTAGGTCTTAATTACTACTGGTGATAAATATTACCATAAAATATAATTATAGCCACAATAACACACACTACTTCTACTGCTACTACTCACCAACAATGCACAAATGGGACATCATATGAAGAAGCAGATGAAATTATGAACTTACACAAGAGCTATTGTAAAAGTAAAGTGAAGTGACCAAGAAAGTCTATTGCAAAAGAGGTAAAGACATCTTTGTGGGTGTAAAATTGAAGGAAAACCTAAATGAATGAGTGAATAAACCACAAAATCCTTCTATATAGGGCGCTCACTGGTTTCAAAGGTATGAAAATTATGTAAATCATACACTGTAGCCCAGTTAAACCCCTATGGGAGATTTGGGAGTGAAGTGTTAAATAACACTCATCCCCACCATCCTCAAATGAGGGTGTGTTCTTGCAGTACTTACTTTCCTAACTTATTAACTAACTAACACACCTTTCCTTTAATTTGTCACCCTTCTGTACATTGTGTATTTCTGCTGTTTGAAGTTCAATCTGTGATCTCTGCAGGCATTAACCTTTGCTCCTCCAATGTTGCCGCTGTTCATTCGTCTCACTGAGTGCTTGAAAAAGAAAAAAGCGCCAGCATCGCCTTCAGTATGCACAGGTCTAATTGCCAAATGGAGCTAAATTGCTTGCCAGTGATTAGGCTCTTCACAGTGGTTCCCAAATAGAGCTGAAACAATTAGCTGATTCATATATTAGATGATCTGAAATTAATCAGCAACTACTTTGATGATCAATTTATTGTTAAATTAATTGTTTATGCAAGTATTACCTAGTTTCACTGTCTCATTTGTGAGGATATGGTGTTTTTCTTTGTCTTATGTGACAGTAAACTGAATATTTGGTTTAGAGTGTCAGTCAGACTAACCAGCTATTTGAAGACGTCACTTTGGGCACTGAGAGGGTGTGTTTACCACTTTTATTTATAGACCAAGCGATTAGTCAAGAAAATAATATGCAGATTGATAATTGATAATTATATCTATAATAATAGTAAATATTTTAATCTTAATCTTTTCAGTTTGTGACGCCTTAAAACAAACCGTGTCTACTTAAGATGTCAAAGTGTATAGTGTCGGCATGAGGTGTGAACAGTTCTGATTTTCCTTCATTTGAAGGATTTTCAGAAGCCTAAAAAGGGTAAAAGTACCAAATATATCACACAAAAGCCAATGTGAGAAAAAATAAATATAATTTTGTATAAGACAAACAAATGTTTTCTTTTATAATCACTTTAAACATCCTGTGACCCCTCAAATTTATCTTGGCACCACTTGGGGGAGAGAGAGAGAGAGAAAGAAAGAAGAGTTTATCAAGAGTCAGGGGTCAGCTTAAAACTGGCTTTTCCTGACAGGACTGTGGGTTAGCTACGTGATGGAAACCACTCCTCTTAATGTGTGAGCCCCCTGCTCCTACAGGAATGTTTGACCCTACAAGGTGCAGGCTTTTTTACACTATATGCCATGGTGGTAATCATCCTGTCCAGTGGCTTAGACAAATCCAGGAGACAGTAGCAATTCTGGGTGACAAGGGGTGGGAAAACCTCAAGCTTCACACTGACTTCCATGGTACCCCCATCTTGTTCAAGCCTCTGATTACTATCATTCCTCCCAGACTGTAATTATTATTAAGGTTCGAAGAAGACAACGCAACTCCGAAGTTGCTCTCAGTGTTGCCAAGAAGATAATTCCTCCTCCTTTTCTGCACGATTAAATGGCTTAATGGCTGGTCTTAATGACTTGGCAAATATACCTCCAGCTTTCACTCTTTCACACCCACGTTTGGTCTTATTTTATCCTCAGAGTGTCCTCAGGCCAGGCCTTGGTGTAGGTGTGAATAATGAGGTTTAGTATCTGTGTCATCTAACCCCAACTTTCTTTCTGGTCAGAGTGTGTGTGTGTGTACACGTGTGTGCGTGTGTGCGCATGGAAACGGTTCTGTTTTACCCAATATGTGCAAGCGTGTTCCCCTGTCTGTATGAATGATATCAGCCTGTGTGTGTCAGTGTTTTATTTACCCTCGCAGATCCTCTGATCGAGTGCTGTCTGGCTCTGACAGGCAGACGGCCTTCCCTGGCACTCAAGTCACAGATGCCCCCCTCACACTGAGCTCGTGCTGCCAGGGCCCAAGTGACAGCGGGGAACGTGTACCACACTGCCAATCAGTCTGAGACAGACATGCAAGTTGTTGTGACGACCCCCCCCCCACACACACACACACACACACACAACTGTCCGCTCTCTTTCTGTCACTGCTGTAAGCGATGGAAAAAATATAAAAACAGCAGTCTTCTAACCATCTGTCCTGATCTGTCTCAGCATATGAGGTTTGTTTGATTGAGCGAGAGGGTGGACCTGCACAACCATAGTGACGTTCCAATTTATGAATAGAACATATCTAGAGGCAGGGCAGTATGGGGATTGGAGTTTTGTTTTTACGACAGACATGAAAAAATTTGAGTATATCCTTTAAATCAGAGCTTATATACTGTATAAACACAATGGATATGACCCATGACTCGCTTTCGGTGTCGAATCTAAAACTAGGCAATAAAACAACAACTACCACTTTGGGCCAAGACTATCAGAACAGCATGTACTAGAAACTATCTCTGTTCTCTTTTTGGTGTAATGCTAAATCACTTGCACATGGTGATTTTCGACCGTCACAAATATTTTGGAAAAAACCTTGGGGGAAAACAAGCTGCAGCCTTATATTATTTTCATCCTCTTGAACATTGTAAACATACTCTTTCCACACGGACAATGCTTAAGCCACACTTCTTTCTTCTTCTTCTTCTTTCTTCAAATGCCAACTTCTCAGAGAATGATTAACTACTCCTACTGTCCCTCTGCACATGTGAGATCATGACTGTTGGTGTTGACTGCACTGACAATACAATTTGCATTTCTAAAACTACTACAATTTAAATAACGCTGTAGGCTTGTATAATACAAAATGACATACACAAAAGGTATACACACACACACACACACACACACACACACACAGGCCTTGAAGCCATGTGATCTCATTACACCCAACGTAAAAATATCCACCATAAATTGGCCTTATGAGTTACAGTGTGTGACCAAGCAGTTTCACAAACACAAATGTATTCTTGGCTATGAAGACACTCAAGGTCCAGCATGAAAAGAGGGGCTAATGGGACATCACAGACAACCCCTCACCCACCTTATAGCCCACATTAAAACCCTCGCCCCCCCTGATTCAACTCAGTCTTTCAGCTCAGCCGACACCTTTGTGATTTAATAAGTTAGTCATGTTGTTTGCCTGCTCTCCCTCATCTGCGCTCACTTCCTATTTCTCACCTGTCCTTTCAAGCGAGTCATACTCAGACACACTCTGTTTACAGTGAGGTATTTTGGTGCCTGGAGATGACAAACAGTGAGAGTTTGAGCTGGGGCTGCCTGCCTGCCTGCCTGCCTGCCTGCAGAAAACTTTTATTTACTGCTCTGATTTTTCTCTCCACTTGCTTACACAAGCTGCTGGAATGCTCAGGCTGGTGTGTGTGCCAAGTTACTTAAGTTTTTTACTGAAGTCCTTGCAGAAAACACAAGGATCACATGGGGCAGGGACGTCTGAAGAAGATCACAGTGACAGTGCAACATGCAGCAATGGCATGAAATAATAAGGGCCACAGTTTTACTCCCAAGAGAAAACATTACAGAGTATTATGGTGAGTTTGGTGGGGGGGGCGCTCAGTCGGTAATAACAACGTGACCTACATTCCACTGACAATTATGAGCTGCTGTGATCATAAAGTGGAAAAGACAGCGAGCATGACATGATCAACTGGTCTTTTTTTGTTGTTTTTTCTGTGGCAAATTCCTGTGATGCTTCTTTGAGTTCGTGGGAACTGGGAATTTTAAAAGTTCACATCATGTTTAAGGGGTATTTCTGGGTGAATATTAAAAACTGTGTGCGCCCATGGCCAAAAAAAAAAAAAAGAAGCGTAATTTCACCATGAAATGTCAACACATTGTGAGCTATATCTGTGAAAAGTGAAACAAGGTTTCGGCTCCACAACCCCATGTGATTCACACTGAGCTCTCATTACAAAGCGAACGAGCGTTTCCTTACCTGCGATGTCCCACAGCTGTAACCTGACCAGCGTTTTGCTGTCCCAGTTGATAACTTTAAGTGCAAAGTCGACCCCGATCGTCGCCCTGTAGTGCTGAGAGAAAAGCTGGTGCACGTAGCGTTTGATGATGCTGGTTTTCCCGACGCCTAATTCCCCGATAACCAGCACTTTGAACAAGTACTCCTTACACTCAGACACGGAGCCCCCGGCCATGCTGACACTGACAACTCACTAAGTTTTGAAGTTTTTCCTCTGAACTCAGACTGCTTCTGCTTTCTCGCTCATGTATGCTTTTCCCGTGAGGAGCTGCTGTAGAGTGGGCTGGTCACAGGGCTGAGGGCCAGATGCAACAGAAATTACATTCCCCCCCCTTCTTTTTTTCTCCTTCTCCTCCTCCTCCTCCTCCTGATGCCGTTCAGCAACCACCTGATAAGTCACAGGACCCGGAAATGTAAGGGAAATTTATGGTTCAGGTTCCTCGTGCAGCCGTGGTTACAGTAAGCTTTGTTTACAGAGTCATTAGTTGTTCCCCATTTACACTCAGGCTCCTGGACTTTTTCATGTGAAGTGCCATTGTCATTCAGTAACCATAACCCAGAGATACTATGTTTCCCCCCCCCATACACATTTCTTCTTTTGTAGATTAGTTTTAAAGATCCCTTCATGTTTTTAAGACAGTGGTTTTCAAACTGGGATCAAGGAACCAACAGGGGGGGTTCCCTGAGTGGGTTGTAGGGGGTCCCCAGCAAAAGGAGGAATATAATAGTTTAACTTCTATCCTATTTTTTTATTTGATTGGTTTGATTTTGACTGATTGTAATTTATAGTGATTATAGTTTGAACACCGATCGACTATAAAGACCTCAAACCTAAAAATAAAAGATCTGCTCAAAGTGGGGGTTTGTGGTCTAATGAGCATCGGTCATGTGAGGGGCCCTTGGCATTAAAAAGCTTGAGAACCCCACTTTTATATAATTATTTGTGTCTGGTGTGTTTTTTTTCTTGAAAGAAAATTCAAATGAACCAGTTAAAATGTCTCATTTTCAATCCAAAATCTGAAAATTCAAATATTTTTAATTTCATACATTTAAGTGATGAACAAAAGATGTCTACTACTTCACCAAAAAAAGTCTGTTCTTCACATATGTGCGCTGGAGGTTTAAAGCTTCCACATCAGACATGTGTAAGTTAAATACCGGGACCGGGATTAGCTCCAGACTAGTTGTGCTGTCAAGAAATCCTGCACACGTCTTGATCTGACTTTTAAGATGAGCTCAGCAAAACAAGCAAAACACATAGTTGAGTAGAGGGGGACTTTAAACTTTATAATTTTTGCTTGAGATGCCTTGAAAGCCTCGTTAGGATCCCCGATTGCCCCCAAACTCTGTTCTGGAAACATTGCCGTTAATATTGATCAAGTTGAAGTTTTGCAGTCGAACATGATGACAACCCCCGTTTTTTTCAGGCAGTAATCAGTCTTCTTAATATAAATAGTTTTTATTTTACAGCATTGTTCAGCTTGCCCAAAACATAAAGGCCTATTTCATTCTAGATTTGACAGTGTTAAACAGGTGGCACCCTTGTATATTTTACATTGGTTAAAATCATTTAACAACTTACACTATAATAGACTAAAAACATTTGGAAATACAATACAATTGCACTATGTACTGTATAGGCTTGTACTTTGAAATAATTTGCATTCTTATAGATAAAGAACTAAGAAACTTAACCTCAAGTAAACTACTTAAGTTTATAATGCAAGATTTAAGCAAAATTGAAACATGTATAATCTCATTACAAGAAGCAACTAATCATTGGTTACTTTTACAACTGAATATTTTCAAGAGGATACAGTCGACTCAAGTTAGCTTAAAAGTTACCCAAAAACCAAACACACTGCTCCTTGACAAGTATCTGAGGACAGCTTCAAAATGTATAAACTTTTTTTTTCTGTTGACATTCTAAATATAGAAACATTTATCAGTATTACAAACATACCACCTGTGTGAAAAAACAAGAGATGGCTGAACAGTATTACAAACTTTGAGAACTTGTACAAGTACTGTGTTTTCCATTACAATGACACAGCAAACTCAGAAAACATGAGAAATATCAACACGGCATGGAAAGCAAAAGTATCACATCCCATGCTCATAAAACTTGTTCTCAGGTTTATGATTGAGTGTAAACTGAATAAACAACATCGCCATCATCTACAATCACGCTAACCTGTATCAGCTACATCGTTAAAAATTGAAAGCAGGGATGTAGGTTGATAACAACTTTGATTGGCACATTATATCCATATCATACAGCGCAAGTCTTCAGCAGAATCTCAGCTTAGTGATAATATCTTTGTGGTGCTGAGCACACCTTGCAACACATAAAAGTAATACTCGACCAACTTACTGCACTTTTCTTGTTAAGTTATCTCTTAAATTGCAACGAGGTTTTGGGTGGGAGAAAGCTGAGGTGAAACTAATTAATGAAAAAAAGGCAAAAAAGCAAATCGTTTTGCCAATGCGACTGCTACGCACATCAACAGACCTGTGCGTGAGAGGAGGCAGAGCTAATCAAAACTGGCGTGAAATGCACTTGAGCTAACGCAGTCCTCAGAGCCCGTTTGGTCTCTGGTTGTATCTTACAGTCTGCACATACTGTATATACACACAGAATTGTGTCTCTGTCCATTTGTTTCTTGTAGACCACTTAATTGCACCGTCACTATGAGAACCACAGCTACATCCTTTATTGTGATTCTCAGTGTTTCTTACGTTGTCAAAATTTGGCATGAGAGCTGACTAGTTTTGGCACTGTTCTCCAGTTTTACATTTTACAGAAAGGCTTTTTTTGCACTGACAGCCCTTCAGGAAAGTAAGCACTCATGGAGGATTCTTGCTGTCTTTCTATTTATAGTTTTGATTAACCCCTTACTGATATAAGCAGAGTAATAAATACAAGCAAGCAAATGTAAGAGCAAAAATAAATAAATGTTAAAAACCTAAAATGATAGTAAAATAACGTTGTTGTACAGTATGTATCTGTATATGTTTGTGTGCGTGTGTGTGCGTGAACCTGTATGTGGAAATGCATGTCTGCATCTGTGTGATGCACAAGTGGGCTGACTGCAACTGTGTCAGCACCTGTTTTGCTCTCACAGTGTTGAGGAGCTGTGTGCGAAGTCTCCGAGGATGTTTGAGGTGTAGACTGAGCTCGGAGGGCTACCGAGCATCGACTCCATGACGGGGGAGCCGCTGACAGACTCTCCCGAACACACAGAGTCTCTGAAGGGGGAGGGGGGTGACAGAGCAAGGGAATCCTCCAGAGTTGGCTTGTTCTGAGTTAAATCCTCAACTTCCCCGCCCTCCCCCTCCTCCTCCTCCTCCTCCTCCTCCTCCTCCTTGGCATCGTAAATGTAGCTGTGTAAGAGATCCAGGTCCTCGTCCTCGGACCCCTCCTCTTCAAACGACCCCGCTTGTGGGGCCAAAGGAAGCTGAGAGGGTGTCAAGCTCAAAGGCTCGTTGGCAGGGATTGCCTCCCTGGTGGTGTAGTCACTCATTGCAGGGACATGTGAGCTGTGTGTGTCCACCACAGCCCCCTGCAAACGCTCTGTGGTGCAGCCCTTCAAGTGAGAGGGCAAATAAGAAGCCGGCTTATCTAAATCAGACTCCAGCCCTTGCATCTGTCCAGAGCAAGTTGGAGTCCAGAGGGGTCGCTGTGAATCGCCCTCATCGTCCTCCTCCACCAGGTTGTACAGAGGCTTAGCGCCACGTGGTTCTTGGGGGAGATGGGGGTCTGTGCCAAGGTCGCAGGTGGAGGGCTCACAACTGTGGGGGTCGGGGGTGTTAGTTAGGGGCCTGATGACCGCCGTCTGATTCAAGCCGGCTTCCTGTTTCCTCACATGCACAGACAGTCTGTGCCACACATTCCCCCCCCTCGGAGGGTGTCTTGCACCTGATTCAGACCATGACACAGACTTGCCATTAGAACTATGAACGAGATAAAGACCCAAGTTACTATCAGAGGAAACCGGGAGGAGGTTGCAGAAAAACAACATCAACATAGCAGCAACATAACACAACAGAGCAGCAGCATTTCAACATTCCTGATGCATGTTAAAATACTTCTTAACCACATAACTAAAAAGGGGTTCACTCATGAGCTCTAAAGAGTGTTACATTTATCAACTGTGGCATTTCACAAACATAGTGATTCATAATGTGCTGGAGACAGCATTATGATCTTAAAATTGCCTCAGACACTGTGCTTACGGAATTAGGAGCCATCCAGCTCATATCCTCCTGTCTTAACTATTTGCTTATATAGTTATGGGACGCATGCATTTGGAATAAGTCTTTCAGTTGGTGCCTGAACTGGCCTGAAGACGACACAGGGTTTAGTGCAGAATGAGCTAGGACTGGCTCTAATGTGATTAGTTAGGGAGGTGGGGAGGGGAGGCGCGTTCATGCTGAGAAAAGTTAAATGTGAGGTTAATTCAGGATAAACCAAAAGCAGCAGGGTGGCTGATCTCCTTCTTGGAGGGCTGCAGGGTCAAAAACATTTTTTGCCATTGCCAGCTCGGGAGTGACAGGATCACAGAGGCAGGTGATTCCTTTGATCCATCGGATACTTTAACCTGCCAGACAGGGTTTGTTGTTGAGTACAAGACGATTTAACAAAGTGAGAGCTGACTGAGAGCGGACCAAATTAAGAAAGGTTACTTGCTTCCCTTTTTCCTTTACTTCGCTTATCAAAATCAAGCACAGTTCAGTGCAGTAGCTGAATAAAATAAACAGGGGATTTCCACACAGCCTCCCACAACAACTCCACCTCTTTGTTGTGGACTTGTGCTACAAAGTGCAAAAGTGTGTGGAAAATCCTTGATTTCAGACTTTTGGGCAAGCTTACTAATTTTCCTTTCCGGCTGGTGAATGTCCACATTTCTCTCCTGGTTGTATATAATAATAAAATTGTCGGTGTCTCAGTTGACAGTGCAGCTCTCCAGAAAAGGAGTTGAAAGACCCATATGCCAGAACATTTGCCAGCCTCGACACTTTGCGGACAGTACGCTGCTCAGTTTAGAGTGTTAAAGGGTTAGAAGATCAGAAAGGCTGCATAACAAGGGTGAGAGACAACACGTAAACATATTGGGATCACTCGCATACTCTGCCCCACTCCTTACTTTAGACACCTGTCCATGTGTCACTGCTGTGGATCTCAGAAAAGTTATATGCAAGTCTTATTTCTAGTTTGAATGTGAGAAATCTTTAATACTTTAATAACCACTGACATATTAGCATGGCCCGTTAGCTTTAAATCAATCACAGCAAAATGTCCCGCCTTGAGTTTCTTCTATTCAATTTAGCTTTATTTCATT